TGCTTGGCTGTAGTTTTTTCTTTTCTCTACAAGAGGGATTGAAAGTAAAGGGATGTTGAGGGGTTAGGAACTGCAATGGACTTGAAGAATATACAATTAAAGGTTTGCAGTCTCTGCTTCTGCCTACTCAGACTAATGTTCACAGATCCCTAAAGTCGCAGAAGCCTGCTATTCTGAGTTTTGAGGATGGACCTGGACAACTGCATCTTGTGGGACTTGAGGACAGCTTGAGGTACTGCAGGAAAAGAAGTGAAAGCATTAATGGAGAAGGTGGCTGAAACTAGGTGTGCCTGCAGGAGGTAATTATGCCGCTGACTTCAGCAGAATTGTATGTGCTCAAATTGGGGATGACTGTGGCTCAAAGTGCTGGAATGGGAGATTTCCTCAAGGAATGCTGTGTGCACACCAGCTAACAGGGGCCACTTAATTTCTGTAATGACTTCCCACTCAAAAACATGTTTTCATGGCTTAAAAAAAAAAACCGAAGCACAACAGCACCACAATTTGTGGTGAAGCATTGGAAGATTCTTTTGAAGGGAAAAGAAGAGACTTCTGTGGGAACACAGCCGCCTAATTTTAGCATCAGTGTCTCGTGACATTCTAGTTATGATGTAGGTTTTGAATATTCTTTTTTTGAGTCACTTTGCATATGATTAAAATCAGCATCATCAAGTGAGCATCTTGCTGAACGGCCTTAAGTTCTCATTAATTTTGTTTTGATATTGACATATTTCTTTTCACCTTAAGAATAATTAACACATTCGTTATTTAAATTCTGTCTCCTGCGTGGTTCCATTTAAATTCAGGTACCTCTCCACCCCTTGCAGTATCTGGGCAGTTGGATTTCTAATCCATTATTCCAATGCTTGTTGCCCTTCGTTTATCCATGTTTCTAATTTTTTCATTTCCCACACTTTTCTGTTGGATTTTCCTACAGCTCTGGAAAGTTATCACACGTTTATCTTTTCTTTTTTCTTGCTACCAATAATTTTCCTTATAACAATCACTGTAAGATTTTCACTTCATTTTTGTATGATATCACTGCTGCAATGGCTGGTGGAACACAGATAATTTTTTTCTGAAGACTGAATGTTATAAATGTATCTACTCTGTGCAAGTAGTTGTTTCTTTCTTATCTGCCTAGCAATGTAAATCTTTACATCATCACTGTCTATAAAGTGTAATCTTGGGAAGGGAAATGAGAGCATATAACACTGGGTTCTGCAGCATCAATAAATTAAATAGTGCTGTGGCACTTGGGGTGTCTGAACTACTCCTGTGTTCAGTGCTGGGATGGATGCGATTGCTTTCTGACATTTCTTTTCAATGCTCCTGAATGAGTCTTTTTTTTTTTTTCCCCAATATGTAGTTTGTGAAAAGTAAAAGCAATATTCTACTTCTCGTATCTCAGCAGATTCAGGATGCAGATGCCACAAAGACACAGTCTTTGCAGTTCCTCTGCAGCTGAATTTAATGTGCAGTGGCTCTAAAGAAACAGTAAAAAACAGCAAAAACCATCTAAATCTGGTGATTTCTTATGCAAGCAATGTAATAAGGAACACACAAAGAACTGAAGCTGAAAGAATTAACTTTAAATCGGAAATTGGCACCAAGAAGTTTATCGATACGTGAATTCACTTATAACAAAACCTACATCTCAGCTGTCTCTGAATTGCTTTATTTACAAATATTATTCCCATAGTATGTGCATACAGTGTGGGTAGATACATAAATAGAAATATGAAAAACATTTTGGTTTGGAATAATCAGTTACACCAGAAGTATAGTAGCAATGGTAGCAAGCCATCTACCCAGGGTTTAGAGTTCATTCTGCATTCAGTGGAGTATATGGTCAGTGGTTGTAGAGCAAAAATGAGGGTGGGTTTTGTATTTTGCTGTGTTCTCCTGGGAGTGATCCAAACTGCAGGCATATGAATAACACAGATAATTCATCTGCATTGATGGCTGTGGAAATAGAAAATATCTTGTTGGAAAACATTGAGAAAGCTTTAAAATGAAAATAGCAGATGTCAAATCTACAACCTGCAGTTTACTGAGCAGTGAGTATGGTAAACACTGATTATTCGTCTTGATGTTAGGGTTCAAAAACAATTGTCCCTTCAGTTTGCCTTGGGGGAGCGTGAAATGAGGACCATGTGTGCATGGATCAGCAACATTCGAAAGATGAATCACAATTGCTGCTTTGGTCTGGTGCACAAGGCTGTGCTTGAGGGGCAGTGATTTCCTACCTTTTCCAGATCTCTGTAATTAGTGCTAGCGTGAGGCTCCTTTCCTGGTACTGATGTTAAGTGGCGGCCTGACAGTGCCTATTCACACATGGGATTGCCTTTCTTGAGTGAAGGAGAGTTTGCTCAAATGAAGTTAATGTTGAAGTATACATAAGTGTTGTTTGTAAAGGCAGTTATCAGAAGGTGATTCTGAGATCGCCTAGTCCGTCTCTGGCAGGAGCTGTCAAACATATATGGAAGAAATAGTACTTGCAGCTTGACAAAGGATGTGAAGCACTGTATGTTTCAAATTAGAAGGAAGAGGAAAACATTCAATAAAAGTGAATCAGATTATTTTCTTTTCTTTCTGTTGTATTTGACTTCCGTTGTATCTGCTGCCTGGCAGTAGTTACATTTAGCATTTCTCTGACACAAACAGTTCCTGCTGTTAATGTTTTCTTTAGCATTTCTTTCTGGAAATGGAGGCCTGAGTCTGTTCCTCTCCAGACCAGTAATGAGTAGAAACATTAGCTGTAGGTGCATTTCACTGCTGAGAATGTACCACGTATGTAGGCCAAATATCAGAAAATTACAAAAACAAACAAAATAGAGATTACCTTTGCGTAATAGTCTTTGTCTCTCATGAATAGTCACACTGTTTCACGTTGAAGGAAGGAGGCTGGAAGTGAAATGCCTGCACATGCCTTATCAGCGCGCTGAGTTAGTCATTCATTCTTCAGGAGATGAGGTGCATTAACGTTATGCAGAGCTGTGCTAATTGAAGATATCTTAGGATCTTAACCTTCGCTGTTGATGTAGGTTGAGGAACAATTCCAACATTAATCTCTGTGCCTTGAGGTATGCGTTCTGTGATGGAAATTCTTTCAGACTTACTTGCCCAATAGTGAAGATGGATTTGGATTTTGCTTCTCATGTTTTCTACAGAATTTGTGTTTTAAGCTCATGTACTGTGAGAGTGAATGTTTCTGTCAATAACAGCCCCCCATCTCCACTTTTTAACAATCAAGATTGTTTGTAACTTAATTTCATTAAGCATTTCAACTTTGATGATCTGCTTAGAGATCAGTACTGTATTCAGGTCTGTATTCAGAAGATGTTTTCGCTATTTTTTTTTACAGTATTTGCCTTCTCAGTCCCTGTATGTAGAAGTATGTGGACCGAAGGGATTTTTTGGACAACTCTCCAGGCAGTGGAGCTTTCTAGCAATGCTCAGAATAAACTAAAAGCTGCGTGTAAATTCAGCCAATGTTAGTGGTTAATTAACTAAGAGCGTAGAGCCCTAGGGCCATAACATTAGGATTTATAGTTTTAAAGTATGTGCTCTAAACAAATTGTCTTAGCAATAAGCCATTTAAACAGCGTGCCTACTTTATGGCTTAAGCAGGAGGGAGTGCTTCCTGGAAGCACCTTTGGCTCCCGGCAGGAAGGACTTGGAGGATAACCACCAAAGTATGGTTCTCTGCCTAGCTGACATGTTCTAACATAAAACTTCTGTGACAACTATCTAGTTCAGCATTTTAAGGTGCTCCTCACTCTTTCCCAAATTTCTACAGCCTTTCTGCATTTTTTTTATATGCTTTTAAATATAAGGAATAAAAGACCAAATAAATGAAAATAATTGTGCTGATTTTCAGTGGGGGGAGGAGGGGGGGGGGAGTTTAGTGGTATTTCTCATCCTCAAAGCTTCAGCTCTATGACCTTAAGAGTTGAGCAGAATTGAATATCTGTCTTTGCTCACTTATAAATACACGAAGCCAGTGTCATTATTGTCATTTTTTTTCATATGTTGTTCATATCATCGCACACATGTGGTGTCTTTGTTTTGCTGGAGTTAGTTAAATGGGATTTTGTGTAGCTTAAGAGAAACAGGAAACATTTCAAAAGAGAAAAGATATTAGTAGAAAAGTTAAGACTTGGGGGAAAAAACTGACACCTTCCTGTTTCAGGAAACATTTTTGTATAACAGCTTGTTTAATGCTGAACGAAATCAAAGCTAAACAAATGAAAAGCCACCTGAGAAGAAAGTGAGATTACAAAAGTGACTTCCCGGGGTACTGCTAAGATCTGCTTTGCTTTTGTTCTTTATATGCTATTTTATGTCTTTTTCTAAGGTGATTTCACTCATACTTACTCATTGCAATACTCAATACTCATTACAGTTGGAGTCCTCTTATACTATTAACTTCTTCTCTTTGCACTGTAGTGGTAAACTGCCCTCAGAGGGCGGTGGGGGAGTTCTGATGGCTCCTTAGCTTCTGTGACATTGAGCGAGACGTGGTGTGTTTTGATAATGTTTGAGAACGTAAAATATTTGATCTAACCAGTGTCTGATATGGAAGAGTGGATTTCTGCAGTATTCATGCCTACTGCGAGAGTGAGAGATGTGTAGGTTGCTCCAAAAGTAATGCCTCCTATTTTATTTCCATAGAAACTATAGCAGATACAAAGGGCACAATAACATTATTTGATAAAACAAATTAGCAGTTACAGAATGCTGTTTTCCAACGTAGTCACCACCCTTAGCAACGTTATGCTGGGAATGTTGGTGGCAGGAATACGCAACCTGATCTGTTATTACTGCTTGTGTTCAGATTGTCTGACTGATGGTGTGCCTGAGCAGAAGGAAAAAAAGGACATGAGTTCTGTTATTGTCCAAAACACTGCTCACAAAGCGGGAATGTTCAAAATAGTTTTTTTTTTAATTAAAAAAAAAAAAAAAAATCATATTGATTTCTTGATATTTCTCTACAGGGCCTGTCATCTGTCACCAAGAGCAATGGGCTTCTCAATATCACCTTTAAATATGACAGTAAGTAGAAAATTTGCACTTAATTCACAAAAATCAAGTATGCAGTCTCAGTTGTCAATACATAGCAGTATCTCTCTTAAAAATGACTCGAAGAGTAACATGACCTCTTTAGTTCTGAAACAACTTTCAAATCTAGGTTTGTTTCTTCTCAGTCTGGTGGGTCTTCGTATATTTCACTAATTAGAGTAAGTTGGTCTAATCATCTGTAGTGGTTTCATTATCGGATCATTCACCCATTACTGGTCAGAGAATTATAAAGAGTGTTTTCATTCTGTCGAATAATGCAGTCACTGAAAACCTTACATGGAAATATATAAGTGGCCATCATCAGTATAAGCTCAACGTGCAGACTAGAGAAGGTCCCAATTTACAGTAGCAATGTTTGCATTGAAGCCAGTGCAAGTTCCATCCATCCCTTCCCCCCCCCCCCCCCCCTTTTTTTTTGTTGTCTACTTAATTCATTCTCATTATCCTTACATTCCTCAATTTAATGCTAACTTCTGAATTTGGAATCTTTCATTGTGAATTCATTTGTTATCTAATCTTCTTAAAGAAATGAGCAAAATTTAAGCACGTCAGATTGTACAAGAGATAACTACATACAAGTTACCATTTGTTATCTGCACAAAGAACAACAGTAAGAAATGTCAGTTGGAGCAGAGATCCCTGCATTTATTTCACACAATGGAGTTTGTTGAAGTCCCTGTGTCTGTAGCATTTTTTCCATTAATTTTGGCACCAGGAACTGTAATTAACCAATGGCAAGTGTTAATTCAAAGTTCTGCTGGCACTGCACACTTTCTGAATGAAGTTATTATTTGAATTATGCAGTACTAGGGAAAGAGGTCCCTGATATCAAGGCTAAAATGTTCATATAATGTGCAAATACATTCTAAAATTGAGTTAGGCAGCATAAAGCAGAATGTGCCTTGCTAGCTATGGTTTAAAAGCTCTTAGCTTACTACACAGCAACTCTAATGAACTCAGTTTTATGTTCTCCTATTAGTTGGTTAGATTATTTATTCAGGTGAACAACAAATGTTTGTATGTTTTAGTATTCCAACTGTATTCAAATAAAATAAGTGATTTCCTGAAAAAACATGCACTTTTTTCTGTGTTGTTTTCTTTCTAAATTTGTTGTTCTTTGAAAATACAAATCAGTGTCTTGCAGTCAAACCTCAGACATTTATGTTGTAATGCATTCTGGCAAATTGTCATTTGACCAGAAATTTTAGCAACCAGGATCCAATATCTTGAGCTCGCTTTTAATTAGTTCCAGACCTAGCAAAAGCTGTTACTTCAAAGTTTCCATTGAAAGAGATGCTCTATTCTCTGAAGAGGAAGTTCATGCTGTCACTCCATTCACTCATAGCAACAGAATTCTACAAACAGCAGAGTAAATACCAATTGCCCAGCTTGTGGAAAGAGCAGTATTGTACAAACTGTTCTGTTTCTAATTGTGGGGCGGTTACATGAAAGGCCACTTACCATCATTGTTTGTAGCAGAAAAGTCATTTTCTAAAACTACTTTTTACTTAGCTATTTTTTTCCTTGTTTAAGGAGCACACATCTGAATTAAATTCTGATTTCTTGTGTTGGTTTGTTATAGCACTTGATTATTTTTTTTTTTAATATTTTTGGGAACTCTGTATATCCAAGTGCAAACCATATAAATTATATCTGGATTTTCAGATTTATCATCAGTTACTGAATGGGTGGCAGAGAAGTACTCAAGATCAAGCAGTATCTGTGGTTAAGAGCACTTCTTGGGCACCAGTTCTAAGACTTCACATCGTCATTGTTGACATCAGAGCCTGGTCACTCACCAGTGTTCTCTTGCACTGTATGTGCACAAATTAAATGGCAGTCCTTACATTTTGAGTAATTAGTGAGGAAAAAAAATACTCTTTAGAGAGTTCCAAAATATGTCATTTTTGCAACCTGTGATACAGGCTGCTCTGGCATTACAAAATGGTAAATGAGGAGTCCTGCAAATGAGGCTTTGGCAGCTGGTCGAAGTGGTTGTGCTCAGTGACTTTTGAAGCTTTGGACTGTTTTTCATTGTTTTAAGACAAAAGCTTCATGTTGATTTACTGTACAGTATTTATTTATTTTATAAAATAAATAGCATGCATAACTTTGCTCAGTCTTGAAGAAATGTCAGAGAATTGACTTCTTTATTCAAGTGGAAAAATGTGGGCCTTGCTGGAAACTGAATAGTTTTCAGGGTTCTTCTCTGATGTGGCACAAGAACCAGGTTGAATTAGGTTGCCCAGAGATGTGGTGGAAACCCTGACCCTGGAGACATTCAAGGCCAGGCTGGACCAGGCTCTGAGCTGTGGATGTCCCAGTTCAGAGGAGAGGACTAGATGACCTTCAGAGGTCCCTTCCAACTCTAAGGATTCTACAAACTCATATGTTTCTTTTAAAATTTACTTTTAATGTTTCTTATTAAAATTTATTTCTCTGTATTTTCAGACTGCACTCCTTACCTGAATTCAGTGGGTAAACATGTGATTGGAGATGTGCAGAATATAACCATCAGTCAGTATGCATGTTACGAACAGGTTGCAGTCACAATACTTTGGACAGCAAATGCCATTGGTAAGTAGTAGAGGAAAGTGAACTAATTCATCCTGTCTTTGGTAATGAATTCTTGTTGATCAGATCAGTTAATGTGACTAAATTATGCTCAAAGCATTAAAGAAAACTGCTTGAGAAAGAAATTCTTGACAGCTTTGTGGAACTGCTGCTTTAAATAAGCTGCTAAAGGAAAGGTGTACTGAAGAAGATACGTTCTTAACAGTAAGGTAAATGATTTGTCTGATAAAAACAACATTTTTATGGTAACCGCTGATAGAGTGACTGCTTTGACTGGAATGAAAAGAAAGGATTCTGGGGTAAAGTTACAGAGGTAGCACCAGACCTGAAATTCATTCGCTGTTACCATTCATAGTCAAGCTGTCGCAGCAATAAAGTTGGTTTCAGAAGTGTGTGAAGTGCTACAAGTTGACAGAATCTTTGTAACAGTTGGGAATGAGGTGGGGAGCAGCCATGAAAATCTTCCCTATCGCACAGAAGTTCACTGTGGCTTTTCTTTTTGCAAAGAGCTTAAAAGAGTTGTACTCATGTCTTTGAGTGCTTTTCAGTATCAAGTAAATCATTAGAGTTAAGCACAGTATAGTTTTTGAAATTAAAACATTTGATTAATGCTCATTTACTCATACAGCAGTCTCCCAGTTTGATATGTCATGGTTCATACTTCCTCAAAAAGTTTTTTTTCTTACAATTAAATAACGTGGGAAGTTTGTGTGGTAAGATGACAACCTAAGTGTTGAGGTGTGGCAGCTGAAAAAGTGCCTTTATTGAACTTGACATACATTTTTTGACATGGATCTGTCAAACACTTTAGATAAGTGTACCAGTGAAATTTTCTTTGTGCCCTCCCAGTATTGAATCTTGCTTTCGGAGTTGGTTTGCATTTTAAATTTGTAAGAGCAAGTAATGATTAATTGCTGGAGCTTAAGGCAGTATGTGAAAAATACCCTGAATTCTGTAGAAGTGTGCGGTTGAAACCAGTTGGTAATCTTCAGCTGCAGACTGGATGAATGAGAACTATATGGGAAACAAATTCTGGTGTTCTCTGTTGTCTGATCAGAGGTTAATCCTCTGGGAAGCGTGAAGGCAGAACTGCTGTTGAAACATCTTGGGTAACACAGAGACTGGACGCTTTTGTGGCCTTCGTGTAAGCACAAACAGTGCTTTTGTTCCATGGAGCATTAGGAACACATTGGGCACGGCCTTTCTTTTAGTATAAAACATTTTCTTTCTTTTATTATAAAGCATTAAAAAAAAAATCTATTGGAACAGAAGAATTCTTTTTTCTTTTCCCACCCATCCCCTCCCCTCCCTTCCTTCTTTCCACCCTTCCTTTCTTCCTGACAAGCCTAGTGTAAAGCCAGGTTAATCTGTGTTGATTTTTGTGGCATTTACCTTATGAAGATGGTGTCTGTGCCTCAGGTAAATGTGTATTCTGCCACATGTAATTCTCTTTAATATATGGAATTAGGTGGAGTAATGGTAATCAGTCTTGAAGAACTGTGCAGTAACTTTGACGCCTGAATCACAAATCTGTCACAGCATCACACTGATATTGTGCTGTGATGCTTCTATCACCGTGACTCAGTTTAGTCATTTAATTGGTAATCCCACGATGAGAACATTGCAAAGAAATGCAGAGGCTGTGCTGAGAGTTGGTTGTGTTAGAGGAGCTTGAAAACAATGGATGTAGTTCTGGCATCACTTAAAAATAACTGGACGTGTGCACTCACTGGAATAGATTCCATTCCTTCTAAGTCAAGCTTTCTGTTACGCTGTTATATTCTAGAAACAAAGAGATGGTGATAACTGCCATCCCTTTAAACCAAAGGTTGAAAAACTGTGTGAATATGTTATAAAGATGTATTTCTGTAATTTGCTAGCAAACTGTTACATTGCATTGCAAATCATGGAAGTACAAAGTTACTATTAAGTGTATTGCTGGTGAAGGAACTGATTATTTGTATTGCAGTGATAATTTGGAAGCCTCAGCTGCAATGGGAGTCCCTCTGCTCTAAGTATTACACAGGTGTGTAGTAATTACAGCCTTTGCCAGAGACTGAATTCTAAATAGGGAAGATAGGCAATGTGGGAAGAACTGATGTCACAAATATTAAAACACAAACGTATTTCGTGTGAGGGTTAGGATTTAAGTGTGAAGAGAAATTGAACTATCTTCATATCACATAAAATATCACTGAATGCATTTTGAAATATTTCAGGGATTGAATATCTGAGAGGATTCCGAGTAATACTTGAAGAGTTAAAGTCAGAGGGAAGGCAATGCCAGCAGATGGTTTTAAGAGATCCAAAGCAGCTGAACCCAAGTTTTAAAAGAACAGTAAGTGCTTTTTTTCAAGAAATGCTTCACTACTGCTTGTGTAGCCTTGAATGTATTTATGTGCTATTTATAAATTTGTGTACATATTTAGATAGATATATAATTAATGTGATGTTTACTAGGATGGAGATTGCTTCCCAACGTTGTTCTCTTATGACCAGTTGTTGACTGGAGATAGATCTACTCCCCTTCTTTAGGAGCTTTCCTGAGGCTGGAAACTGTCACAAAACTGTTTGGGATGACTGGGGGGGAGAGGTGGCATATCTGTAACAAGTCCACATCCCAGCTCTGCGTGAAGCTTCCTCGTGTCAGTGTTGTAATGGATGGACAGAGAAAGGTTTCTTAGTAGATTCACTAATACTCATGTTTGCAGATCTGTGGGCTAATACTGAAGAAAATGTCTTTAGTTAAAGTTTTTTCAATCTTGTCTTTTTGTGTAGGGAGTGGAATCTAATCCCTTTGCAAACCTGAAGTTTGAAACAGATTACTTTGTAAAGATTGTGCCTTTTCCTTCCACTAAAAATGAAAGCAATTATCATCCATTTTTTTTCCGAACTCGACGTAAGTATTGCATACATGCAGTGTCATTCCTTTCCCCTCCTTTTTTTGTTTTCAGAAATAGCTTTTCTGATTAAAAGAACAGCTTTCAATGTAGAACATGATAATGTCAGAGGAGTCTGGGTTAAGATAGTTATTGACACAGTCTTTGAAAGATCTGGGTATTAAGTGGGAAGAATTTGAATTGCAATGAAAAATCTGTAGTGAATAATTCATGTTATCCACCTACCAGAGGGAGCGTCTCAGAAAGGCCTATAATTGCCTGAGATCTGCCTGCAGCAGGATTACTCATGAAGGTGGTTCATTTCTTTTCTTCCCCTCACTGGGCACTGTGAAAAAGCTCAAATTGCTTCTGCTTTTGAGATCAGTTTCAGAAAGGGGAGTGTAGAGGGTAGGTATGGGTAAATGCATATGAAATGAGGCAGCAACGAATCAAGTTGACTTTCTCAAAATTACTTAGCAATTAGCAATTCTTATTGCAGCCTAATGAGAATAAACTTGAATAAACTCATCAGTGCCTAAATAGAATTGAATAGAATCTAACTGTAAGTACCAATTTGGGTAAAGTGTTGGTATTTGTCCTGCTAAGGATTACTGTTTTCAATTTACTGAACCTATCTCATTTAAAGATGCGAAAGGGCTTGAATCATAACTTAGAAGGTGAGTTTGCAAAATATATTCACTCTGGGTGTATTACAGACTGGAAAAGAAATGAGAGTGCTGACTTTAAAATGCTGAAATAACTCCTTTCTTTTGCACTTTATACTCACATAGCATAGCATAGCATGTGGATGCTCTGTCATTAATCCTTTTACCTCTATTTTCAGCATGTGAATTATTGCTACAGCCAGAAAACCTCATCTGCAAACCTTGTAAGTAAAACAATACTTTCTATATACTTATAAGAAGTTACTGCTCTCGAAGAGTCACTTGCCAGTTTATGAATGTTTTCTCTGACAGACTGGAAGCCACGGAATCTGAATGTTACCCAGCAGGGATTCAATATGCAAGTCTCTTTTGATCATGCTCCCCACAACTTTGGATTTAGATATTACTTTCTTCACTACAAACTGAAACATGAAGGGCTGTTCAAGCAAAAGACCTGCAAACAGGTATGTCACTGTGTTTTGCAACTCTCAAAAGCAGAAAACTCATTCACATGGATGTTCTAAGTTTTTATGGAAACTTAATACAAAATCTGATCACTTTGAAGATTTTAAACTGTTTGGTGCTATTTGTGGAAGTATCTGTTGTGTTGTGATAGCACTCATCAATCAAAAAGAACACTTGAGTGCTCAGTGGTGCTGAATACTGTAAGCAGATGAGAAGAGGCTGTTCTCTCTTGAAGGCCATACAACTGATTAATACTTCAACTTGCATCTTATTACATTTGTTAAACGTTCCTTCCAATGATGTGATTTTATCTCCACGCCAAATTTTACCACTGAACAGATTACCCATTCGAGATGGTGTCACAAGGTACTGCTCATTTCAGTGTGAGTGTAGAATTTGGTTCTCTGTGATTTTGTACAGCTGTGCATATGTCTTCCTATGGGTGCTGCAATTTGCTGCATTGTTTTCCTTAGCTTCCGTTATTTTTCAATGTCAAATTTTATCTCAATGGACAACCTTTGAAAACTGTTTTGGTTTTTTTTTTCAAATGGATGTTTGATCATATTCTAGTTCTGCAAGCAGAGGACTGCAGTCCTTGCATACTTGAGTGGAGAATTAGTTGAGCTGGTTTAAGACAGAAGAGCACCCTAAGTTTCTAAATCAATATGAATGCATTTTACATTATATTTTAAAAGTGTGTGTGTGTCATGCAGAGTATTTTGTTTTTGTTTTTTTTTGGATGTAGGATCAAAACACAGATACTACAAGTTGTATTCTTCAGAATGTAACTCCAGGGGATTATATAATCGAGGTAATGTTTACAGAGTCATTTGTACCACAGCAGAATGAGTACATTCATGAAGGAATTAAGTGAAATTAAAGTCCAAGTCTTCAGTAACTTCAGGCATCCCTCCTGAGGTACCTTGGCCAAGTAAAGGTTTTACATTGTTCTTGACCTTTCCATAGTTCTGCTTCTCTAAATGCACAGCTTTTTCATTTGTGCCTTCAAGTAGAATTGTGAGCCTGAGTAATTCTTGGATTTTGGTTCTTCACTGGAATTATAAAGTTTGGCCAATTTCTGCTATACTTGAAAGTTAAGTCTCTTTTGATGGATGACGATACATGTAAAAGTTAGTGTCAGGAGAATAAGCTACGTACTGCCAAAGACAAATGGTTTCACTAGTTAGTACTTTTTGGTGCTCTGGAACTTTTTGAACAGTAAGTTTCTCATCAGGTTGTGGAAGCTGTTACAGTTGTTTCAATATTGCAGAAAATGAAGTGAAATTTCCACAAAATAAAATTCAACTTTTACTTTCCAAAGCTGGTCGATGACACTAATACAACAAGGAAAACAATGCACTATGCACTAAAACCAGGTATGAATATTGTTTTTTAAGTAGTATGCCTGATGAATTTAGATTGTTCTAATTGCATTGGAAATAAATGTTGATTTGACCTATCTATTCACTGACTGAAGACTGCTGATGCAAATGTGCTGTGATCTTTTGATGAAAAGAGAGCACGCTTGTATGTACACATCTGCATTTCTATGTCTTTTCTATTCACATTTAGTACAGTTTAGATCAAGAGATAATTGGAAGTAGTTGTGGATACATCACTTTTGTTATAGATACGAAAATTTGTAATCTGTACCTAAGTAGCAAACAAACAATGTGTGCAGCAGTGTGGATGTAATGTAGTGAAACTATGAGAGCAGCCTGAACACGTTACTGGCTATGTGCTTCAGCCCTGAAATGAAATAAAGCATTCTGAAAAATCTGTCAGTTGAATGCTTGGCCTGAAATTAAATGAGGATTTCTCAATGTAACTGCAGACCCAAAGCATAGCCTTAGATGAAGGTAATAGACAAAATGGACTGATGCAAAGTCTTTGTAGTCTTTGTGGGAAGCCACTATTTGAGCTCTCTGGAATGAAAATCCAACAGTTGAAATGACTCTTGTGTATCATGTTAAAAATACAACTCACTCCCCCATCATGAGGGTGCAGTGTGCAGAAAGCTCTTGTTACTGACGTTAGTTGCTCTAAAGCTGTGGTTATCAGGACAAGTAGCATAAGACCTCTTCAAAATGGAGCAGAACATGTTGTTTGAATTTACTGTACATTTCCAAATTCCTGATAATCATGTGCTGCAGCAATTTTATGTTCCGAGTGTGAAGATTTGATTGAGGTTTTTTCATAAGCACACGCCTAATTCTGCTTTGTTTCTCCAAGTGCATTCTCCATGGGCTGGACCAATCAGAGCTATTGCCATTACAGTCCCTTTAGTTGTCATTTCGGCGTTTGCAACGCTTTTCACTGTGATGTGCCGCAAAAAGCAGCAAGGTAAGAGGGTTCATTCAGTATGGATATAAAGATGTACATTTGCAACCACAAAGGTCCCAGTTAGTAGCTTTATTCTAGAAATATCTTTACCTGAAGAACTTTCTTTTTCAGCTCTTCCTCCTTCCTTTCCACATTTCACGCTGTGTTGAAACTTGTAGCAAATTCTTAGTTCAGTGCATGATGGTGATTTGTTTCCAAAAGAGGTATTGCATTACAAATCTAGAATTGATGGAAATTAATTTTTTAATTAGGGTTTCTGTTTGTTTCTGAAAGTAATGCAGGACCTGTGTAGAATACAAGCATATCTGTAAATTGACATATTTTAAACATTGCCTTGTTTCATTCAGAAGTATCACTGATACTGATTTTAAACCAGAAAGAAAGTAAAGCCATGTGACATGAATGTAATTCTCAGCACTGTCTGGAATACTACTTGTGTCTGTTATTCCAGATTGCTCACTTTCCTGGAAGTTGCCTTTACACTTCATCCTAAGCCTTCTCTCCTAAAACTTAGTTGCAGATGTTTCTGTAAATTAGATTCCATCTCTATTCCCCGATTTCTCTCTCCACTGTGTCTAGGAGCTGGCAAGCTGTGCTTTTTACTCTGAGATGTTAAAAATCAGTTGGCATTTTTTGGTAGAATCTCAGGACTCGTGCTGTTTCATCAATATGGAAAAAGCAGTTACATTCTCTAAGCCCCACGTATCTGTGTTATCCATCTGAATTTTGGAAATGAGATATAATGCAAGTGCTATATGCCATTTGGGTTAAATCCCTTTACCTTCTGGTCTTCTGTGGCTGTTCCTTTGCTCACAACTAGCACAGTTCCAACAAAAAGACAAATCGCTGAGGGTATCTACGCAGAGAGCTGTTCCAGCGTAGTTATTACTGATGAATAATTCTAAGAAAAATATCCCTAAGGGCAAAGTTTGTATTTTGAAATAGGCATATTTTATTCAAAATTAGTTTAATCAACTAGAACTGTATTGAGTTAGTCTGGTGTAAGGCACCCACGTTCCAGTGTAAGTGCATCCATCCAAGGAAGGAAACACGCAGAGCTATTTTGAACTAAGTTAATTTTTCTAAGCTCAAATGCATGCCAAATTAATTTTCAAAAAACATTACATACCAGAGAGATGCTGTATGATATTCTGAAAGGATTTTTACTCCTGGAGTTTTGTATTCAAAAGGACTTAGCTATGCAGGAAGCTCTTCATGACAGTATACGTAAGGCTTTTTTCACAGTGAGGTGAAACAACTTCATTCTACTTATAAATGAAAACTTTCTTGAGTTGTGCAGCAATACAATTTCATATTTCCCTTTTCAAGTATATTCCACATAAGTAACAGCTCAGAAGGTGGTAGATTGAGGGTGTGCAACTTTTTCAGGCTGGAAAGGAATTTGAAAAAAATTATTTTCTATCTGCTTTAGTTGAAAGTCTAGAAAGTTCAAATAAACAAAAGAGCACCTTTATAGTATGAATTCTCTTTCTTTTTTTCCAATTTAGAGAATATATATTCCCATCTAGATGAGGAGAGCTCAGAATCTTCAGCTTATGGTGCAGGGCTCCCTGTGGAAAGACTTCGCCCCCGGCCAAAAGTGTTCATCTGCTATTCCAGTAAAGATTGCCAGAAACACATTAATGTTATCCAGTGCTTTGCTTATTTTCTTCAGGACTTTTGTGGCTGTGAGGTAAGCTCAACATTTCTACTATTAACAGAATTACTTTAATTCAGAGAGTACTTGCAAAACTCATCATGATAAAAGTGGGGTATTTCAATGTCTCCTATGGACAGACATAACTTGCATTATTTTTCTACATATTACATGAACTTTCTTCACTTAAGAAAAGGAAGAGATTCTAGCCTGCACAGAAAACACAATTGTGGAAAACAAGACAGTTGATAGTTAATTTTTGTTGAATTGTAATCCTACCACTGAGATCCTAGATTTTTCAGCTCTACAGCAAGTCTGACCTCTGGTGGCCAAGCACATGAAAGTAATCGATGCCTCGACCTTCATTCATATGCTGAAAATGGTTTGGATCACGCTCTGTAAATAACAAGCTGGAATCCCCTTTTGAGATTAGTACATTTTAGATTAGTGTTTAGTGCTGATACACCATACCTCTTTAGAATAGCATGGAGTTGAGCTGTTGCCACTATAACTGTACCCTGTAACATACAACATCATTTCAGATTTGTAAATTATACATATAAAATAGCACCTATATTTAGAAATAATCTTTGTGGGGTTTAATTACAACACTATTGCTCAGTGAGTAGCAGAACAGTTTTCTTTTAAGTGAAGCTCAAATGTTGTCTCATAAAGAACAAAACAAATGGCATTTGAGACCCCTTTAAAATAATGACAGGACAATACTAAAAATCCTTTATCACAGATGGAAGATCAGACATTTTCCTGAAGAACAGAAATAAAGAGAAATGCAAAAGCAAAACTGCATTGTGCCTTTATCAGAGCATCTCCCGAGCAGCTGTCAGGTGACTTTCTTCCTGCAGATGACTGTATGGTAGCAGTCTTCATGAGTCTTTCTGTTCAGGGCATCTGTTTACCCTGTCTTCTGATGTGGCAAAGTTTTATATTCTGATGTAGGTAAGATAGCAGAGGAAAAATAGTTATTTCTCAATTTAAAAAAATGCTTGAGAAAAGAATAAGTGGTTTTGGTTTTTAATAAAACAATAAACACTAATGGTGTCTATTATGATTTTTTTTTTTTTTTTAACCTTAGCAGCTCACTGATTTCCTTAGCCCAGTGAAATATTCAGGCCACAGGCAATGTTTAGAGTGGTGAATAATTACTGAAAGCCTACCACTGATTCTAGTTTGTTCTTTACCAGTGCTATGTTAATTATTGCTTCTTTCTCTTTTAAAACAGCTTGCATTTGTGTCAGGGACAAACTTTTAATTCTCAATTGTGGGATAAATACAATACATTATTTAGACTTTATTAGAAATATGTAATGAAAATATCAAGCGGAATTTTCTTTTTCTTTTTCAGGTGGCTCTAGATTTGTGGGAGGATATGAAAATTTGTAAAGAAAGTCAGAAAGAATGGCTCATTAAAAAAATAAATGAGTCTCAGTTTATCATCATCGTGTGCTCCAAGGGAATGAAATACTTTGTTGAAAAAAAGAATTGGAAACACAGAGGAGTAACCAAAGACACAGGGAAAGGAGAACTCTTTCTATTTGCTGTGTTGACTGTTGCAGAGAAGCTTCGTCAAGCAAAGCAGAATTCAAGTGACCTCTGCAAGTTCATTGCAGTCTACTTTGATTACTCCTGTGAGGGAGACATTCCTGGTATTCTAGATCTAAGTACAAAATATAAACTCATGGACAATCTGCCTCAGCTTTATTCCCATTTACATTCCAGAGACCTTAGTGTGCAGGATTCAGAGGTGTTTCCCGCTAATGTTAGTAAAAGGAATTATTTCAGGAGCAAATCTGGTAGGTCTCTTTATGTTGCCATTTGTAATATGCATCAGTTCATTGATCAGGAACCAGACTGGTTTGAGAAACAATTTATTCCCTTCTTTCCACATCCTTTACGTTACTCGGAGCCTGTCATGGAAAAATTTGACTCAGGCTTGGTTTTAAATGACTTAGTGAATAAACAGGCGGCGGATGAAGATTTTTACCTGAAAACAGATGTAAATATTATTTCAGCTGGAAGTTCAGACTCTCATTGTATAATTCAGCACTTAAATCTTGGAGAAGACATAGAAACTCAGGACATTCAGGGTGGTGGCAGCTCTGTTCTTCGACCATTGCTACATGCTGTTAAAGCTTCCAATCTTAAAGATATGCCTCGGGATTCTGGAATCTATGATTCATCCGTTCCTTCATCTGAGTTATCTTTGCCTTTAATGGAAGGACTACTGACAGATCAAACTGAAACATCTTCCATCACAGGAAGTGTTTCTTCATCATCAGGTTTAGGTAAGATACCATGGTGTTTTAAAAAATATATTCAAGCATCTTAAAATACTAAAGATACTATGCAAGGAAACATAGAAAGCAGCAGAGGAAGGTAAGTATTACGTGCAGGTGATCAAAAAAGACAGGTTCTAAGTAACTTCAGGAAAATTAATCTTATGGTGGGGAGGGGATCCTTAGCTGAGTAAGATCTCATAAAGATCATATTAGTAAGCCACTTTTCATTAATTGACCTAATTGCCAGAAAGATTGTATCTTTCTTCTAGAGGCTCCTTGGCAGCTGGCATGCTAAGCTGACAGCTGTGTGGTTTAATCAGGAGGGTACTGTGGTGAAGCTGACTTAAAGAAAGGCTGTACATCTAAACCGATGTTTTATTTTGCTCTAAATACATACCAGAACCTACAGGAATATGCTCTGCACTGAGATTAACTCAAGCTTCAGATTTGCATTAGGCTCACTGGATATGAAGCTGAGAGGAATGAACTAAAGGGTTTCACTGGAGGAATTTAAGTGCTCAGGAAACTCTCAAAAAGATACAAAGATGTAATTGCCTACAGTTAGATGGAATAAATATTGCCACAGGCCATGTGAAAAGCTGATCTCACAATGCCAGTTTGAACACACTGAATTGACACCACGACTGCATCAGTATGAAATGTTCCAGCAATTGCATTTATAGGACGAGAATATTTGAGTCTTCTTACGCAACTGCAGCAGGTGAATATTGCATTTTGATGCTGATAATCTGTTCTGCTTTCTTGAATGAGTGTTGGCAATGAGCTAACCTGGTAGACTTTTGTCTTGCCTAAATGCATTCTTTTCATTATCCCAATAATTCACAAGCCATCGATGCCATAATTTTGTTAGGGAGGAAACATGTAGATATTCATTGATGGATACAGCATCTATATCTGTAGGCTATATATATACTGTTGGGAAAAACAGCAACAAGAACAGCAAGAAATTGAAAGCCTTCTGTGCTTTCAAAAAAATACGGATTTATTGATTTAATTGTATAAGACATAAATACCAAGTTATTTTTTCCAAATTCATACTATATTCTTTTAATTTCCTGCCATCTTGTAAGTCAGCTTTTTTTCCTCACATATTTGTGGGAAAATTTACAGACAAAACATCTGTGAAGGTAGATTAATGCTTCTCTGTGTGACTGCCTTACCAGCATTCCCCTCCATCACAGCACTCTCAGCTGAGTATCTCAGCTGCCAAGTGGTCTCTGAAAGAAGGAGACAGTCTTCTCAGTAATTAAATCTCAAGTCACATACATACTTGTCTGCATCTTTTGGCTGCAGATGTTGAATGTTATAGCACTACCTGATAGGGATGAATCTTAATTTTGATGCTGCAACAGCCAGGGAAACCCAAATTACTGCCCAAAAATATCACTGTGACTCTCACTCACACTTCCCCTCCCAAACAGTGGTCTTAATTCAGAACTGTCTAGAACTGAGTGCCACCTACCTATTAAATAGATTGCAACTCTTTACATCTTTTTACTGTCACAGACATGCAAAATATTTATAGCAGTAATATTTATGTGCATAGTAATAAGAGGAGTAAATAGAATTGTATTGCTCATATTCATGTTCTGATGGTTGGACTAGTTCAGATTATGACTTTGAATTCACAGTGCTATTTCTGTTCTGGCTACCTGTTTTTTATCCGTTGTTTTGTCACAGTGTGAGTGAACAGCTCTGCTTCTCCACGAAGCCCTGCTGGGGAGAAAAGTACTATTAATTCTTTAGATAAGGAATTACTGAGCACAGTAGTTCAGAGAGGCATTGTGATCCAGATGGTCTTTATAAGCTTTCTTTGCACTGTTTCTAAAACATTGGACAAATACAAAGTCAGTATTTGGAGTAATGAGCCACTTTTTTTTTCTTTTTTTTTTTTTCTTTTCTTTTTAAATAGGGGAAGAAGAACCTCCTGTAATCTCTTCCACAAAGTTCTTAGTGCCTGGAATATGTAAAGCAGAACTTCATTGCCATATCCATACTGATGAACTGCAGGCAATTGCTCCTTTGTAATACATCAGTACATTGTTATGCATTGCCACTTTATCAGCAGCCTCTGTGCTTTAACCACAACACTATTCCAGCACTAAATTTACTTGAAGGAACAAATGCTCCCTGAAGACGACCTGTTATTCCTAAGGGATTTTTATGGCCAGTAAATTTGATCCTATAAGCTTTCATGATTTGAGAAATGCAACATGGAAGAATAGATGAGAAACATTTCAGTGTTATTCCTATTACTAATTTAAATTTCTTGATGTTATACTGTTTATAGATGTCATAATAAAAAGTGACCTTACTTACTAGCCACAATCTTGTAGCTGGATGTGAAATTGTTCAGTATATTTTGTATTCTCAGCCCATAATGTCGAAAGCTGACACGTCTGATGACAGGAGTGTTGTAGTGAATGAGAGCAGGATATTTTTAAGAAGCAAGATTAAAAAAAAGTGAGATCAAGAAATTCTTCCTTCACAAAATCTAACCATGCAAGTTCTTGATTTAGTGCATTTTTTTTTGCTAGTTTTACTAGAGGAAGTGATTGGATTGATAAAATACAGGCAGAAAGATTGCAGAAGTTGTGTGCTGAAGAGCTGCTGTGCATAGAAATACCAAAGCTACAATCATAAGAGGCAATTTGTTAGCAACTGGAAGATGAAGGTAATGCCACCTTCCTCCAGAGAAAGTCCTAGTACTCATACTGTTGTTTTATGCTAGGCTAAATGGAGATTCTGTGGTTCTGTTCAATTCCGTGTTACTTAAAGGAATTAAGTTTTCATTTTGAGGTCTAAGAAAGCTCAGCTTTGAAAAGCAGTTGTTTTTAATGTTTTTACTTTGATTTCTTCAAAATTCGCTGCATAATCCTACAAATCATAATTGTTTTGTAATTATAAAGGTCTGTGTGGATGCCAATCAAATCTTTCATAGGTGGAGGAAAAAACAAACAAACAATTCTTTCATTCCTTTGTAGCATAAAGCGGAAACCGTATATTGCATGACCTTGGAAAAAAGAAAGTGTACTTAATGGAAAATGTGTAATAGTACAAACCCACACTTAAAGTATATCCACACACGCACACAGAATTGAAGAAAATGATATGATTCTTGATCTAATTTAGGCATAATTTTTTTTAAAGCCACAGTAATTCATAAAATTAGAAAAAATATCCTGTATATTGACATAGTAGAAGGAAATGGTATTGAGTTTGCAAAAGTTCTCTTTTTTTCCTCCAAAGAATGTAACAGCTAAAATCCTTGTAAAAAGTATTTTAAAAACAAATATGTAAATACATATATTAGAGGTTAGCTTACTACTATTTTCAAGCATTAGTTGCTCTAAATAATGTTAATGATGAAAGGATCCCCTTAATTACTACTAGACGACTGTGTGTGAACATCAAATGTTTTTAAATACATTTTTTGGAAAGATGGAAAAAACATTGGAAAGCCAAAGGTTCAAGGAATAGCTGTACGTTCAATATTTTGGTATCATTGCCAAAATTGTACCAGTACATAAACACAACAACTGCTGAAAATAGAATGCAGCTGATATTTGCAGAATTATTTTTTTTTGCAGAAAGTTTTACGATACTTTAAGTTAGAAGTTAAGTATCAGAATAAAACATTTTTGTTCAGTTGGTTTCATTTGGCTTTTCTTAGTAGTATAGAAAGACTAAGCTGGGGTCCAGTTGTGTTATCCAGTTATGCAGTTGTCCAATTTATGCAATTATGCTCACCACACAAACAGACTTGAACCACTGTTCACACTCCACATCTAGAAATGGAGCTGATATTTTGATGTGTGTTTAATATAGTCGTGCAACTGTAAGAAGCTGTACTTGTCTGAAAGTTCTGTATTGGAAAGACTGGGTCTGACTTTTTAAAAATAAAACTGCCTTAATATGATTTTATAAAATTATTTTCTATGTATCCTCATGGAAGTTTGCCTAGCATTACATACTTACATGTCAACTGAAATCTGTCCACACAAACTGTGTAGCTATAATGAACTGCTTTGGGTGCATTTTGTCAATCAAGATGCAATAATTATCTAAGATTTATATGCCTTTATTATATATATATATTTTAATCTGAATGAAATTCAGCATTCCGCTCAATGGATCCTCCAGACTGTATTCTCAAGGAAAAGTCTTAAAACCACTTGTGTTCCTTGTGTTGCTCAGGTAAATGAAGGCTTTTGTAACAGGCTCGATCTGGTACAGTCAAACTTAAAGACAAGAAAAGTCTGTAATGAGTCTATGAAACTGTTATTGTTGAGGAATTGAATTCCATACTTGGTGCTTAGTTTGCATATACAGTAGCTGTGTTGAATTGGTTTGTATTTTGACTTTACAAGTTAAATTTTTTATACCTGCCATCTTCTCTGTGCCTCTGTCTCCCAGTTCTGAATTCTGCTCTTATCGCTACATAAATCAGAGACGTTCTGAAGTGTCATTAAGTGCATTTATAATTCAAGAGAGAGTTTCCAGTTACTTACCTGAACTGCACTTCTCCCAGGTGTATTACCTAGAAGGATGTTCTGCAGTCCTATTTGTGTGCTGTGCTCAGAGTCCTATACACAAGGCACTTTGTGTTTGAAAGAAAATGGAAAGGAGGTGCTGCTACAGTTTTTAGACCTTTGGTTTAAAGTATGAGTACCCTCCGAATGTTTTTCTGATGTTTGGGAACTGCTGGCCAAAATTATTCTAGTTTGAGGATGTGAAAAGTCATGGATCGATATGGGGTGTGCATGTGGATTACACATCTCAAAAAAAAACCTTTGAAAGTAAGCTCTTATTTTTCCTTATCTTGCATTTAAATACTGTGGTGACTCGATGCTGAAGTGTTCCCCTCTCCTCCTCCCCCCCAGAAAAAACAAACTACCTGAGAACTTTGCATTTGAGCTATAGCAATAAAACGTGCATTGCACACAGTATGTTTATTCGAACTATAAATGATCAGACCTGAATTACTTCTAAAAGGTCAGAAGTTAAAGGCTGCACTGTAGATCAGTGAAAGGATTTTTTCTCTCTGCAATAAATTATTTTATTTTACTTGCTATCATTATCTGCTGCTGTTTCCCAGACTCATAAAAACCAGAAAAATTGTCAGATTCTATCTTTTACAGCAGGATACAATTTTACTTTTTTGTTCTGATTTAATAAAGTCTGACTTGCCTGTGAGGTTCACTTTCATGGGCAGGTGCACTGTTGGCAAGGACTTGTGTTTGTAGCAGTCCATAGGAATAGCAGGAATTGGCCATATTGCTCTCAAAAATCAAGGAGAAGGCAATGTTCTTTCCTCACTATCAAACATTAACTAGAAGACCAGGCAATGAAATGCTTGCCCATGTCTACCTCAGTGCTGGAGGCACAGTTGTTTGAGATTTGGGTATTTCACTTCAAGGCAGACATTTGGGAATGTTGAAGTGAAAATGAGAGATGCTGAAAAATACATTATATATATATATATAAAATCAGATATAATAGTTTATATTATGTGTATATAATAGTTTATTATAAACAGGAGTGCAAGAAGAATAACATCTGGAGAATTTTCTTCATCAATTAATGTGAAGACTTCATTTCTTAGTGCATGTGGAGCCACAACATTCAAGAGTGATTTATCACAGATGTCCAACTACCTTTCTTTGCAGACTGCTGTAGGTTTGGCAACGTGTGGAGTGTTGAACCAGCAAGAGTGAGCGTGTGGAATGTTGTTCTGTTGGGCTGCTGATTTACCTGGAATTCTAACTATTTAGTCTCTTAAAAAAAAAAAAAAAGAGTCAGTTTAAGAGAGGCAGTCTTGTTGATTACATGAGGCAGGTGAATTTATTGCATAATTATATAATTGACATTTCTTCTCCATGGGGGAAATACGCACCTGCGGAGTCACTTAGTTGTAAATGGTAGAAGACATGAGCTCTCCCCGTGCAAATTCTGTACTACCATCTGTCTGCAAATCAACATTGAACTTGCTTTTAACTGTATAGACAGCACTTTATGATGAGATTTTACTCAACCAAAAAATATTTGACTGTCAGTAATCATAATTTGTTAGAGAATGTATTCTAACTAATATGCATAGAAAATGATTATTCAGAGAGTCTTGGAGACCAGTTCAGTGTGTATCCTGTACTGCAAAAAAGCAGTCTTTGAGGCTGTGTTTCACTGCAGCTCAGTGTTGCCTGGTGACAGTAACGCACGGTGCAACTTGCTGAACAGTAATCACAATATCAGCATCTTTTTCAGTAGCATTTTCTAAGTCCTTTATAACTGCTCTGTCTGCACCTCTTTTTAGCAGTGCTGTATTTCTCAGGTGATTCAGCCAGTTTCAGTGGGGCTGATTATGAAACCAGAAACTGGCAATGTGAGTGAGATGCGTCAGAGTTGTTTGGTGTTTCACAAGATTTTTTAACTCACAAGAGCACAACTAGACGCACAAATGACATAAACAAGTGTTATTATCCTCATTTTACAGGAGAAATTGATAGGAACTAGATAGGAAATGGATCTGCTTCAGAGCAGAGGTGAGGCTGATGTCAGATGAGGATAGAACAAGGGATTTGTATCTTAGTCTTGAGCCATAATGGTGCTTCTTTCAACAGCCTGTAGGCAGCCAGCATGTTTCATTAGAGATAGCAGCTTTTGCCATTTTGCAACAATCCACGTGGTAGAACAGTCACCTGGGCACTGTTGTACACCCCAGCCAAGTTCTGTGACAGGCAAAGCGCAGCAGAAGTGCAGGAAGAACTGCAGGAGGAGGAGACAGGCATGGGGTGGATGTAAGCCATGGATTTTATTTCCTCTGCAGTAGGGGACCGAAGGGCGAGTTAGGGCAGCCTTGTGACCATACACAACTCGGCAGGGGCCTATTTCAAGCCCCGCTTCCAGATCAACTTTTGCCTGAAATGAGCCTGATTTGCAAGAATCACTCCTTTATCATTTTGATGAAAGGAGTGAGTTCATTGCTGTCAGTTACATCATACCAATTTCAGAATAATTAGAAGTGAGAATAGTGTTAAACCTGCTTGTCTTTAAATGTCTGCTGTGGAGAACGTTCCCGTAAAAGTTGTTATTCATCAGCAGAAAGGAAACTGCCTGCTCTGCTGTAGCTTTTGCAAATATGCCAAGGTGTGACTTTGGTGTTAGGAAGGAAACCACCATCTCTGCAGGATAGCAGTTGGACGACGCACAGCCACCGAGGGTGGAGTGAGAATAATAGTTATGGGGATCAGGAAAACAAGGCAGGATTCTCACTGCTGAACTTGACCCTCTGCTTAGGCTGCCTTTATGCCTGGGAAATGTGTGTATTTGAAAATTGCTGCCCTCACCATAAGTTGGCTTCTTTAATAACAAAGATTGTTATTATCTTTTTAAAGTATAACTCTTAAATGTTGCTGTATTTTAGGACAAGCTTTTGGACTGAAGTAACAATTCATTTAACACAGTATTTTGCTTAGTAAATACAGTTTTACACTCTAAAAAGGCTAAAAGGCAACTGCATATTGTGTCATAAGGTTAATCATTTTCAAAAACAGGAATTACAAATTACTACTAACAAGCAAAAAAGCATTATATCTCCCTGGACAGCATTGTCAGCTGATTTGGATGAGATCAGTTACAGTATATAATTTACATTAGCTAATCATTCATTGTGTAAATAGAAATGTCGAGGGCACATAGAAGAGTGGTCTCTAAACAGAGCATCTCTTCCCATTTCCTGATAATGAATACCAAATGTTGCTCTCCTTCACAGCCTTACTAAGTCCTGAATGAGAGGTGGACATACATGTGCTGCCCGTCGCAGTGCTGCCTTTGGGCAGGCACGTTGGTGGCACCCAGGAGCAGGGAGCAGGATGGTTGCTCTCTAGTTCTCCTGGCGGCTGTTGTGATGAAGATCTGAGGTTTCAGGAATCCACCACAGACAACCAGACCTAAGCAGCCCCAGAGGTTGCTGCATTCTGCCAATTATGTTCATCTTGTTGTGAGGCAGATTTTGCTCATAGAACTGCAATTCCCTGTATGGGTAACTTTGCCACAGGGCCAGATAAGTGCTAAGTCCTCACACACCTGATTAGTTTATGTGGATTGCTGCTTTAGGAATGATGGAAAAACAGAAATTGCAGTGAACAATTACTTTTAATGGCTTCTAGTACCATGGAAAAGAACAGGAAATGGGTGTAGGCCTGACACACAGTGCTCTTATAGGCTAAGCCAATGGGTGAACTGCGTGTAGCTTATCTCATAGTGGCTGTACCAACTGTACTCCAACTAAATCTAAAGGAGAAATTAAGTTCAGTCATTTTTTTAGTACATGTACCAAATTTCTCCAGTCTTCATTTCAAAAAGCTGAGTAACAGAACAGACTGTGCTTAGTACCAAAATATATGCCAGAGTAATGTTTTGTTTAAGAATACTGTGGGATCTGGATGGCTGATTTCCAGCTGAATTGCCTGTAGTTTAAAAAGAGTGTTTCAGAGCACCATAAGTACCAACTTCTTTACATGTGAACTTTGATTCCTGAGTATTCTCACACTGTTTTGAAGTGGAGTTCAGGTTAGTATCCCAATCTGAAGAAATCAAATGGAATTGAAGACATTTACTTAAAAATAAACTGGGTCTGATGTCCATTCTGCCTTCTTAGACTCAGCTCTCTGAAACAACTGGAAGGTTAAGTTATTCTATTGTAACATATTTTTGGTGCTTCTGGGCTGCAGAAGGCGGTTAGCTATTTTTCGTCCATCATTCCTTTCCCATCGGCTGCTTTGTGTTGGCAGTTACGCTGTTGAAAAAGACCGAGCATCTTTATTTCATTTGCGTTCGCATTCGGTGATTGTTGCTGCACTGAAGTAGCGTCCATAGACTTGTTACTGAATGTAGGTTTGCCAGCGTACGACAAACACCGTTTCCAGCACGT